AAGGCGTGTGAGTGGTTGTGTGGAAACCCGGGAGGGTGTCAGAACCCACAGCGTACAACAAAGTACACACATTCAGGAACCGTTATACTTTTATTGCAAAGCTATAGATGCAGTAACACAGGCACTGTTAAGAATGGCTGCAACCCATTGAACCTAATAGGATATAGGGCATTCGTATGCACACACACACAAACACCCGTGGCATGGGCCAATTAGCTACCCTCCCGCGCGCGGGACCAGCTAGGAAACCGTTATGTAACGAAAGCTGGGAAGCAGTAGTCTTTCACGGTTCATAGGAGACTTCCAGACAATACATCCTCCTCCTGCACATCTGTAGCGATAAGCATTTCAGCACAGGCAGAGCAGCAGAGATAGGAATGCAATAGCAATTACCAAGACACAGAATGAACTCCCCAACCCCCATGGCAGCATAGCTGATGGGGGGGGGGGGAACCTTGTACTACGGGGCAGAGATGCAGAGCAAGAGCAGGTGGAAGCAACTGTAGACCCAATTTAAATGTGATGTTGGTGGGTAGGTTCAAGAGTGCTTACGGTATGACCAAAAACCATCACAATTGATTAGCACCTTCTTTGTGGTCTGGTGAAGGAGTCTCAACCATTAAATGCAGCTCGAGCCCTAATTTTGTTAGCCGCCAGGGCGAAGCGTTGCTACTCCATAAGCAACATACGAATCCACAACAGAAAAGGAGGCGGGATAGTTTTTCCACCACGGGGGGGACTAGGTCTTTTAACATTTCTCCAATGAATTTGCTTCTGGGCTCTGTATACAAAGGGCAGAACAGAATGCAGTATGGAAGGTCTTTGGGGACAATGGCTCCACAAATACAAACCGCAAAAAGAAGAAACTGTGAGGTAACTGCGCTAGAAAATATTTCAATAAACAATCACAAAATTTATACAAAAATGTGTACAAAAATCATATAAATGCACAAGGCAGTTGAAAATGGTGTGACAATGGTCTCCGGAATGTTCTATCGTTTCGATACTATTCTTCTTCCGAAAGTGGATGAAAGCAGCGACTCTTGGTCTGTCATTTCAACAAGTAGGTATCAAAAATTTCATTAATATTCACCGATGTCTCATAACTTAGTTGAATTTTTGATACCTACTTGTTGAAATGACAGACCAAGAGTCGCTGCTTTCATCCACTTTCGGAAGAAGAATAGTATCAAAACGATAGAACATTCCGGAGACCATCGTCACACCATTTTCAACTGCCTTGTACATTTATATGATTTTTGTACACATTTTTGTATAAATTTTGTGATTGTTTATTGAAATATTTTCTAGTGCAGTAACCTCACAGTTTCTTCTTTTTGCGGTCTGTTCTGTGACTGTGACCATCACTTTTGAGCCACATTCCACAAATACAAAACCAGGCAGCAATCAGTATTTGTGTATAGGTTGCCGTCTAGAACAGTTGAAGGCATAGTCTGAACCCTCAAAGAAGTTAAAGCCATTCTAAGACTAGGAAAGGTGGTTTGGGTCAAATAAGATGCTCTGCTGTGGTCCCTCTTGAGCAACTTGAACCAAGGAGAAAAGTTGGAGCAGAGAATTGTACTTCTGTCCAGAGCAGCATTGGTCTTAAAGATCCAGTCTCGTATACTGAGACCAGGCAAGGGGACATGTTGGCAGGTAAGACCTTTCCTGTGGGACTTGGTATGCTCCCAGCCTAGCATTTAAACTCTGCGTGCAACATCTGCACACTAGAGCTAATGTCCATCTACCTGTAGATCCCCGGCAGGCTAACCCTTAGAAGGTGATAGATCAACCATGTTAATCTGTTTGTAACAGCATTCCGTGCACCTTGATGTTTAGTCATGCCAGCCACATGACCACGGAAACATCTTCAGACAGCGCTGGCTCTTCGGCTTTGAAACGGAGATGAGCACCGCAACCCTAGAGTCGGATTCGACTGGCTTTTGAGCAAGGGAACCTTTACCTTTACCTTTTTAACAGTAAAAAAGAATAGCACCTTAAGGTAAAGGTTTCCCTTGCTCGAAAGCCAGTCGAATCCGACTCTAGGGTTGCGGTGCTCATCTCTGTTTCCAAGCCGAAGAGCCAGCGCTGTCCGAAGACGTTTCCGTGGTCATGTGGCCGGCATGACTAAATGCCAAGGTGCATGGAATGCTGTTACCTTCCCACCGAAGTGGTACCTATTTATCTACTTGCAATTTCTTGCTTTCGAACTGCTAGGTTTGGCAGGAGCTGGAACCAGAGACGGGAGCTCACTCCATCATGCAGTTAGGGTTAGTAATGAGGGCTTGAGAGATCAGTCTCAACAGGCACTGGAATAGTAAGGGAGGATCTATGCCAATAAAGGTTGACTGAGTGAGTGAGTGAGTAAGGGAGGAGAGACCATCCCTGGAAACCCATTTTCTAACCTCTCTCATAATATGCTGTCTTTCCTTCTTCTTTTAAAAAAACTTTAATGCTTTCTAAAAGCTGCTCTGACATATAAGTGTGCAGGGGATCAGTGGACGGTTTACTGTCGAGTGATTCGGGAGAAGAACCTTTGTCAGGACATGAGGTGGTACCAGCGCTGTTGCCAGACCTGCAGAGACTTCTATGCAAACAAGATGCAACAGAAGAGTTAATGAAGCCGGGCTTTGCTCCTTAGAAGGACGTTGCAGCTCATATGTATTTCTTCACACACAAAAAACAACATAATTAACTTATGGAACTCACCGCCACTAGCTCGTGGCAACTTTTTTTTAAGAAAAAGAAAAAAAGAGCAAAAAGGGTTATTGGGGGGGGGGATAGACCTATCTGTGACTTTTAGCAACGATAGATGAATGAACCTGCCATGTTCAGAGGCAGTATAGCTCTAAATGTCAAATATCAAGTGACCAAGAATGGCCATCAAGACTTTATTGGTCACACCTGGTTGGCCACTGTTTGAAAACAAGAACGAAGAGAATACTTGGTTCAATGGAACTGGTCCTGGTCCAGCAAAGCGATTCCTAGGTTGTTTATAAGCCACAAACTCCAGGGTCTGTAGCACTTCAACTGGTTGCTTGAACCTGGTGGATTCCAGCGCTTTACCTTTATAAGACTTGAAACTGCATCCCCAGTATGTGGATGTGCCAAAGCAATCCACCTTTGGAGGACAAAAAAAACCCAGACATCTTGAAGCCAATCATATAGAAGCGTATAATGTTTTGACATGGCTATATTTTTTCCGGTAATATATAGATTATTTGCAGCCACTGGATGGCTTACTACCATTTTTCTTTTTTCTTCTTCTTTTTTTGGAAGGAAAAGATTTGAAAAAAGCAATTAAAATTAACTAAAAAGTTATGTGTACCTCAACAGGGTAAGCCTCTGGCAAAGAACTCAGTGTAGATAGAGAAGTTACTTAATCCTTGGCTTCCAAAATCCTTTTCTCAGCCCTAACTGTGTGTGGGGAAACGACCGCTTGAAAGGGGGAGCCATTAATGAAATGCTTAATTTAAACGGGGGGGGGACGGGACTTTGCTAGAAAAACTAAGGCAAGCCAACAGCGATGGATAGCCGTGTCTGAAATCGCTGCAGAAAGACCTGGACATCTGCCTCCAACATTCCACCGAGAATAATTTTAAAAGAACAAGAAGACAAAGAAAAACTTAATCAAGAACTAACTTTCCTTTTCCTCTGTGGCGATAGACGGTCTTTTTGTGTTGCTTTTTTTTTTTTTTTTTAAGTTGCTTATCCTTATCCTCAGGTCTCAGAAAGCAAGCAGGGTCAGCCCTGATTACTATTTGGATTGGAGACCACCAAGGAAGTCCAGGTTTGCTACACACAGGCCCTGTTCATACGAGGGGTTTTGGTCCGGGAGCGAGACAGAACGGGGGCGGAGCAAATGGGCGCGATCCCACGGCAACATCTGGGAATCGTTGCCTGCCCGTCCCCGATCCGTCCCTCCCGCCCGAAAACCCGCACTAAAAAGAACCACCTACCTGGGTGGTTCTTCCGAAGTAGAGCGCCTCAAACCGGCCATGGGATCGGCCGGCGTGTCCTTGCGCCGGCACATCCCGACCCCCGGCCGAACTGCGCATGCTTGAGCAGTTCGGCAGCCTCCCCCTTCCCTCCGACTCTTCCTCCCTGGCATCTGATCGTGCCAGGGAGCGATGCGCCGCGGCTTCGGGGATCCGTGGGATCCCGCCGCAGCGTCGCAACTTTGGTGCGGCTTTTAAAAGCCGCGCTTTTCACTGTGTTTTCCCTGCCGTGTGGCAGGGGCCACAGGCAGGTAAATGTCAACCCACCCCTGCATATCTCTCACCTTGGAAACATCTGGAGGGGTTGCCATAAATCAGCTGTGACTGCTTTTCACCACCAATTTTATCCAAGGCTGCAAGACACACACACATTTAGATTCAGGTTGGGTAGCCGTGTTGGTCTAAAGCCATAGAACAATGTTCTGAGTCCAGTGACATCTTTAAGACCAACAAAGTTTAATCTGGGGTATAAGTTTTCATGTGCACATGAAAGCTTGTGCCCAGAATTAAATGGGACTCAAACTTTGTTCAACACATAAATGCTGCGAGCCCAGAAGCCGAAACGAAACTTGAGAACAGCATTGACTTGGATTTGGGCTGCATTTGTACGTGACAGCTGGAGCAAATACAGCTTTGACACCCCCAAGTACCGACCCTGCTTTGCTTCCAAGCTCTGACGAGGCAGGGCTAGGCTGAGCTGTCAGGCTGCTGATAATCATCGTGTGCTGGGGCGTTCAAGGCAAAAGATGCAGAGGTGGTTTGCCGTAGCCTACCTCTGCGTAGCAACCCCAGTCTTCCTTGGTGATTTCCCCTCCAACTACTAACCGCACCTCACCCGGGTCAGGTCAATGGATACGCTTTCAGAAACGCATACTGTTACAAAAAGCCAACACACACATCCCTGTGCTGCAGTACAATGAGCCATAAAGATAAACTGGAGGTGTTTTGAAAAGAGCCAGACGTCATATTTTCCCCTGACGACAAAAGCAGGATCTTACCAAGTGTTCCGCGACAGGGACAACGCTAATGGTGCTCAAGAACCGAGGGGCAAGATTTTAGCCTGTCTCGGCAACGGGAACGTTTGCAATGAACATAACCGGAGCAAGGAAAGAGTCTGTTTCACTCTCTGAGTTCCACTGGTGCTAACCTTCCTGCTCCTGTGTGATCGTGCTGATTTTTAAAAATGATAGTCTGTGGTCCTCTCTGTAGCCTACAAAGTGTTCTGTCTGTACCAGAAAGGCTGCAGCAACAGCAGCTTTGGGAGCCATATTCAGAGATACGGTGTGGTCCACCAGTGGTGTTCCTGGAGCACCCATTTTCTTTCATACTGCCATGCAGGGCTCTTTTTGTAGAAAAAGCCCAGCAGGAACTCATTAGCATAATAGGCCACACCCAACAGCAGGAACATTAGCATATTGGGCCACACCCCTGACAGCACAGCTCATTGGCATATTAGGCCGCACCCCCATGTTGCCAGCAGTGTGGTCATCCAGCAACACCCACCTTTTGCTTCTTATTCTGTTTACCTTGTTTGTTGTCAAAACCCAGGGCTTTTTTGTAGCAGGAACTCCTTTGCATGTTAGGCCACACACCCCTAATGTAGCCAATCCTAATGAGTTTCTGCTGTTGGGTGTGGCCTATTATGCTAATGAGTTCCTGCTGGGCATGGCCAACTTGGGATCCAGTCGGAACTCCGTTCCTGTGCGTTCCTGCCCCCAAAATAGCCCTGCTGCCATGTAAGTTACCATTCAACTTCCTGAAAGAGACGGGGGGGAGGTGCCTATATTTGAAACCAGTGAGGCTTTGGGTATTTGACTGGCAGTTCCACTGAATTCAGGCTAATAAACCGTTAAGGCAAGAGGATCAGAAGGTTAAACACGATGGAGAGCCTGGGATCCAAGCCTTACCTCAGCTGCAAACCTCTTCCAAGTTGCTTGATCTCGGGGTGACTCCATGCACCCAGCTGCTGGGAATACGAGTCGGCCACCTCGCTTTTTCTGGGTCGTGCCTGATCCCTGGGCTGTGTTGTACCCTGTCCGTCTGTCTCTCGTACCACCTGAGTTCCCCTTCTAAGTTTTCACCATGGTCCTTATGTCTCCTTCTCAAAAGTAATCAAGGAGGGACACAGAGATGCGACCTGCTTTTCTGGCCCACAAGTACACTCCGCCATCTGCACTGAGATACTGTAGTGGATCCAACTGAAAGACGGCGGCAACCCCCTTTCTGTGCAATTGTAACCAGTGCTCCCTCTAAGCTGAGTTAGTGTGAGCTAGCTCACTGTTTTTTAGCCCCCGGCTCACACATTTTTGCCTTAGCTCAAGAAGGATAGCTCCAGAGCAAAGTAATTTATGCAGTTAGCCAAATCTCTCGCTCACAACTTTAATGGCAGTAGCTCACAAAGCTGAATTTTTGCTCACAAGACTCCACAGTTTAGAGGGAGCATTGGTTGTTGTAACCTCCGCATCCGGGTCCTGTGGACGACTGCTCCAAGGAAGCCGAATCCAGTGGCTGTCGTTGATTTTGTGCCTGTGTTACCTCCAAATCCCTTCACAGCTATGAAAGAGGGTGGAGCAAAGTTCCCTCTAAGCCGTGGAGTCTTGTGAGCAAAAATTCTACTTTGTGAGCTACTGGCATTGAAGTTGTGAGTAAGCAATTTGGCTACTGCATTAAATTAGTTTGGTCTGGAGCCATCCTTCCTGAGCTAAGACCAAAATGTCTGAGCCGGAGGCTAAAAAACTATGAGCTAGCTCACACTAACTCAGCTTACAGGGAACACTCGGGTGGAGAATGGACAGGGGCTAGAAGTGGGCACCTGTCCTGAATGCAGTCTCAAAATTACAAGAAGACTTGTTTTTTCCTTAAAGAGTCAGGTTGTAGTTTCCAGGACCCATCTCGCTTTCCCTCCAAGCCCACAACAGATGCAGGAACACCAGTTTTAAAGCCTGCAGGAGCCCCATTCAACTCAGGGCCATGGCAGGGAAAGGAGGGCTCCTGCTTTCAATGTGCAGTTCCAGAGTCATGCAGATAACTGCCCACTGAGGCCATTTTGGGCACATGGAAACCAGCAAGGGGGGGGACCTGGCTTGTTTTTTTTAAAAAAAGAGTTGTGTGACTTGGTCTTCAGTTCCTCCTTCCATCGCGTAGCACCTGCGCCCAGGAGTCTCACCAGTACAATTTGAAGCCAGTAGTACAATATCAGGTACAATTTCCTACACATTTTGAGGTCTTCTTCAGGATTATTCTGTAAAGACAGAGAACATTCAGGAAATCTTGGGCAAGAGGCTCTGATTAATAAAATCTTACATTTAAAATGTTTTAATAAATGTTAACTGAATGTTAGCTGGATCAAATTTAATTTTAAGAACAGTATGCCTATATGCAAACTTGAATCCCGAACATAATTCATTAAAACAGCAAGAAGATATGTTGAGGTGACTGCAAGGTGAAGTGGGGGGTGGGGGGGGACTGCAGAAAAATTGCTATGAGAACAAACTCTTAGAAGAAGAGTTTATTATTGGAGAATAAATTGGATCTCAGGGACACTCGTTTTCTGGAAAATCCCAATCCTATGTATTGCCTAAAGGCCATTAAAAGCCTCCCCCCCACACACACACTGATTG